GGCAGCCGCGGGACGTCCCCGGGACGCCTACACGTGGGCGCTCTTCGCGTGGGTGGGGGAGCTGGATCCCGAGGCGTAGTAGAAACGGTTCTCACCGAACGTCTGGGCATCTCCTGAGCAGCAGACGATGACGCAGCCGCCAAAGAGGCAGAGGGCAGAGCCGATCCAGCCCGTGTAGAGGGAGTAGCCAAAGCTCATGATGGTGGTCTCGCGGTGGGCGCAGACGGGAAACCAGATGGTGGCAACCACACCGCACATGGCTGGGGAGAGACGGAAAGGAAAGGTGACTCCAGCCTGTGACCCCCCCACACAGGACACGAAGGCTCTGCAGGACAGAGGGGAAACCCATCCTTCCTCCCTTGCAGTCCTGCAGTGGGAGCCAGGAGCATCAGGGCTTAGTCCAAGAGATCTCCAAGCAGGACGCAGTGTGAGGGCTTCGTGGGGAGAAAAGATCAAGAGAAAACAGCCATCCCTTTCAGACACCAGCAAACAAGAAGGAAAAACGACTGCTGCTTGACACAATCTGACAGATTAGCTACTAGGGAAACACATTTGCTACCTAGAAATATCTTTAAAGGGAAAGAATGAAAGTCATCCCTGAAACTGATGCTCTGAAGAGCTGCAGAATTAGGAATAGATTAGATATGAAGCAAGACCACAAAAGCTGAATGTATCAGTGAGACAGTGAACTCGGTAGCCTGGAGTCAAATGATGCAAATCACTATTTCTGCATGAACTTGCGCTACGTCCTCAGCCCACGTCAACCTGCATCACTGCAGCTGCTTTGACTGGTCACAGAAACATTAGTGAAATATCCCAGCACTTAGCAAGACAGAGCAGGATTTGTAAAATACAAGAAGAAAATGGGCAGGGGCAAAATAAGCAGCAGTACAGCATTGTCGAGGACTTTTTTCTGGAGAAGGGAGTGTCCCACAACTCTGGAAAGCACGTTCCACTTCCCTATTGAAAATGTCTCTATATCAGGCGATGGGGACAAACCCAGCAAGACTCCTCAGAAACGTATTGAACTGAATAGAAAAGGGGCCTCATCTGCCAGGAAAACAGTATTTCACCTAGAGTCAAAAAATGACTGAGGACTTCCAATTTTGCCTGCAATTCCATAGCTTTTTTGCCACGAAAAGCAGGAAGGCCACTGTGGTGATGCTGCAGGGACTGCTAGGCAGGTGACATGAGAAGCAGATACTCTCAGGACAGTAAAATGGGTGAAAATGCAGCACTTTGCAGGCAGCCAGGCTGGAGACCACAGGGTTTCAGTTTGTATCACACACAGGGTTTGCTTCGAGCAGGGAGAAACACGTGTCCTGCCTTCTCCTTATGCTGCACAAGGTCACACTTTCTGCCCTCTCTAAGGGTCCTACCTCCATCCTGCAAAGTCCCCACATATACCCAGGGCAACAGGAGCTGATGGTGTTAATCATCTCACAGGAGCAGATCCTAAAACAATACTCCTTTATGGGCTGTACATCTGAGAAGAATTAATCTGTCAATATTTACTTGCCTCCAGGACAAGCTGTGCAGGACTCCATCCTTGTGGCTATCAGAGAATCAGAGCAAAACAATAATAGGACCATGGCAGCATTACAGGTTTCCACTGACCATGTTAAAAGGTATCTGGAGGCAGTGTCAAAAAGTTAAGGTTGCAGAAGGAAAAAAAAAAAAGGAGGGAGGGGGGATGAGATTAAAACTAAAATTGTTTAGTTAAAGTGGAGAACAAACCATAGCTCCTGGCTGGTACAGCAGAAAACCCATCCCCAATAGCTGCAGTTATTGTGAGAGAAAATATTTTCTTATGGAAAAGAGAAGAACATTTGAAGGATGCTAATAAAGCCAGTAATAATTTTGGGCCTCCTCAAAGCAAGGACCCTGCGGCTTTGGAAGGAATTTTTGGAGGAGGCAGGGAGGGGAGAACAGCATTTCTCCTGCATGTGGATCAGTCCTGCAAACAGCTCGTGGGCCTCTAATTCTTTACAACAAAAATGTATCAGCTGGGAATACACAAAGCATTCTAACGGGCTCCAGAATAAAACGTTCTTTGTCCAAAAAGACACAATAATCTTTTATTTTTGTGTCAGCAGTAAATATATATATATATGTCCATAGACTGTAAGAGCCTTATCTATACAGACCCTCCCCCACAACACAGGCCAGAAGAAAACACTTGCAGTGGGGTGAGAAGAGCTCTCAGGGACGCTAACACAATGGCATCTCTTGTGCATGTGGCTCAACTACATGTGAAACCACCTTATTTTAATGCTGACAATACCAGAAAGCTGTGAAACACAAGCCAAGGACTTTGCATGGGTTAGTTTGACCTCTGTCTTCGGAGGCTACCAGCTGCTGTCAGCCACCAGTGAGCCCATTGCTCAGCAAGAGAAACACCCTGGAACAGGACTGGGTCTCATCACCCTGCATAGATTAGCCTGGGCTGTAAATCCTCCCAGAAGATGCAAAAAGGACAGTCTGCAATTGCAATATTTCTTGGTGAACTCAAATTTTGCTCTGGTTATCATAAAGAAACGCTGGGGGGGGGGAAAGTTGATTTGCCAAGAAACCCAAAGGGATTGTAAAAGCCATTTTCAGGCAAGTTTCATGTTCTAAAATAGCTGCCAATGTGGAAAAGGTGTCTGAATAGAAATTATCACCCCTCTCTTTGGTGCCAATGCTAAGAGACTCTGCCTCTCTAAAAAGAATGTCTTGCTATCATAGAGATACTGCAATATAGTCAAGCAGAAAATTAAAAGAAAGCCTGCAAATAGAGGGAATATTTCCTATTAGACCTTAGGTGGAAAAACAGGCATGGTTTGGGGGACACACATGCTGGAAAACTTGCCTGCCTTCTGCAGCTCGAGCAGGCAGCTCTGCAAAAGCCATCTCAGGAATACTGTCCTTGCTTCATCAGATCACTGTAAAGCTATAGGGACATAACCCAGGCTCCCAGCATTTCTAAGTCCTTTCTGACTATGGATTTGCAGTGGCTCAATCCACTGAGCTGAAACTCATTATTCTGCATTAATGACATTATTTAGTTAGATGGAAGCGTGTGCAGACAAGAGGCACAGAAGGTGCTTGGGGAGGTGGGGGAGACAGAGCAGGATCACTCCAACTGAAGGGACAGTGAGTCCCTGCCAAATTCCTTAACAGTAAGTTAAAGACTTTCTACAGGAAAAAGAATACTTCTCTTTCACAGCTAAATTTAATTAATCTGAGTTGCTGACTCAAAGTCACACAGATTTCTCTTTCAAAGCATTTGCTTGAAATAACTGTTATCCATTAATACTTTTTTCCTGTGTTCAAGGCAATCTTTTTAACTTAATATCTATTGTTGTACAAGTAAATCTTATGCAGTGTCCAGAAAAACTTATTAATATTCTTTATTAAGTATGCAATAGTTAACATGATCCCTTTGCAGTAGTAATTCCCAATAACTAAGGTATTTTTCATGTGTTTTCCAGTGTCTCAGGTCCCCCAACTCCATTAGGAAAACGCCTGCTTGGTTACCAGCATGGGGTCGTTTGAATTAGTATCAACAATACAGGATGGGCCAGGGTTTTTCCATCAACACCAGAACATGAGATGTTTTCATACTGGCTCAGAGCAAACCTCTGCTGACGGTTGTTTTCAGCAATAAATCAGTTCTCTGGGACAGGCGGGATGGAGCAAAGACATAAATACATCAGCAGGCAGGATAGGTGGGTGTGCACACAGGTTGCCTGCTATTATCAGTGGACAGAAAAATCAATGGAATATCTGAGCCCATTGTTTTCCTGGCAAGTTTTCAACTTTTGGGGCTTGTTTGGTTTGTTTTTTTTTGTTGTTTGGGTTTCTTTTCCCCCACACTGTTTCAACCCTGTTTTCCTTTTTAATAAATGTCAGTGACAAAGCACTGTCCCTTCCCTGAGCAACAAGTGAAGTTTGCCATGGGGCCAGCTCCCCCGATCACATCTCAACTCTCCATTACTGCTGTGTTAGTGAGTGTTTTGAGGCTTGTTTTCTTTTAATCAGAGCTCTGGGAGTTGGTTTCCACTTGGAGGAAAAGGCTGGAGCCTGTACAGTTGGGGAAAACCACAAATGAGAGTTTGGTGGCCAGAGGGTAAAAAAAGAACAGTCTAGGGCATATTACTTCTAGAATATCATGAATTTTAAGTCAGTATTATGAATTTTGAGGTCAGATTCATGCCCATTAATGTTCTGGAATAGCAACACCTCATTTGAACATAACAGATCATTAATCAGCTTAAATATTTTCACAGTCCCAAGCTCTGTGTGTCATTCTCCATCCAAAGGGACTGTGTCTTGCTTATCAGCCTGGAAAAATCTGGGGTTTGTAACAATGAATGCGGGTTATTTTGGTTTTTGGTTTTGATTTTGGTTTTGTCTGGGTTTTTTCAAACAAAAATTTAAGAGCAAAAGGAGCTTACTTATTTTTCATTTGCAACCTGACTAAAAGAGCATTATTGTAATTGTGACTAAAACATTGTGACCAGGCTGCTGCTCCCAGCCCAGATCATTCTGGACATCAGCGACATGAGCAAACCACTTCACCTGCAGATGCTTCCAAACTCACTAGGGTAAAATTCAGTAAGAAATCCAAATCTGACCCAAAGAGCATCTGTCTGTCTCTGTAAATACACGTTTCCTTTCCTCACAGGGTTCAATCAATAGGAAATACACGTTCTGAGGCAGAGAGGAGCCTGGCTTATGGAGAACCACAACCCCTCTCCTCCATCCTCTTACATCTATCCCCCTCCCTGGTGTCACACCACAGCAAGACCAGGATGGAGAAGGATGCTCCACACCCCAAGCCCCTGGTGCAATGCTTCAAGAGATGGGATGCCATTAGTTCTATGCACAGCTCTGTCACTGCAATTTGCTTGTTCTGTTTGTGCTGGCCCTGCAATCCTGCTGCCTGTCAGCAAAGCAGATTGAAGGGCAATATTCTGGCCTCCAGGGCTGCAGCCATGCAAATGGGGCCGATCTACAGCAGAGTTCTCCTCAAATGGAACCAAAATCTCATGTTTATTTGTGATGAAGTGCAGCTTTGCTGAGCCTCCCCCACCCCGGGCAGAGCAGACACCTCCAGCACCAACAGTTCATTCACAGGCAGAAAAAAATCCTATTCTTTCTCTCGCTTTGCCAAGCCCAGAGATGTGATTGAAGGATTTGGGACAGTGATGAAGGCCACATTCCAACAGCTCTCTAACGTGGCTGTTCATGACATCCTAAACAGGCCCTATAAAGCTGATTTTAGGATTTCCATCTGTGGCAACACACCCTTAAACCCCACAGGCACTGAAAGGGCCCCTGGGTCTCAGTCCCTGAGATTTCAGACGTACTGACTTGCACTGGCTGCTCCTCAGCAAGGCACCAGAGGAGGAACTACTTGCAAGGAAGGAGCATCCAGAGGACAGCCCCTCTATCCAGTGCCCACTTGAAAAAAAATATAAGGAGGAGAAGAAGAAAGAAGACGGGCATGATGTCAGTGCTGGCTGCCAGCGACCAGCAGAGCCACACAAAGAGGCCACTTTCCCTCACCCCTCCTCCTCTGCTGCGCAGACGGGTGACAACAAGGCACCGCCGCCTGTTGCTGAGATGACGAGGCTTCAAGAACATGCAGGTGTTGCGCTGGGGACAATGAGCTCCACAGTCAGAGCTGCTCAAAACAATCTCTTCCACAGGCCCTGAGGACGGGAAGAAATTCCCAGGCGAGCTTGGAGGCCAAAGGCAAGGCTGGCCAGAGGGGGTTGGGAGGCACAGGGGACATGCCAGCCCTCTTCCCAGGTCCATGCCACCTCCTTGCTGCCTTCCCTACTGTCCCCATGGGACCAGCACCCCCTCAGCCACTGGCTTCCCTTCCCACACACCTCAGCTTACACTGATCCAGCTACATCTGTGATGCCCAGGGAAAATTCAGAGGCTGCCCTTTCCCTGTAAGCAGCTTGGAAGTTCAGACTCTTTTCCAAAACCAGCGTCTCTTCCACAGTGACCCAGCAAAACCAGTGCCTGCAGGCAGCTGCCCGTGTGCAGCTGCTGTGGCTCTGCCACAGACACAGGCAGTGGCCCAAGGACTCCACAAGACAAGGCACAGCAGGGTTTCCCTCCTCTCCTCACCCCACTTCCCTCCCCGTCATCTTTGTCCTCCAACTCCTGCTCCTGCCTTTTGTTCACCCCGCAGACCGCGGTGATGCTGGAGACCTTCAGGGTCAGCCCAGCCTGGACAACCACCCATTAGGTGGCCATGGCCAGCCAGCCTGCCGTCACACCATCCTGCATCGGGACAAGACCTCCATCTCTCCACGCACGGTGAGCACCTTACCCAGGAGGATGATGAGGATCCCTCCCAGCTGGGACCGCCGGTATTTGGCAGCTCCAGGCTCGTGACCCATCCGGATGCAGGGCAAGACCGTTATCAGCAAGAAGATAGCAGGGAGACCCAGGACGGAGGCGGCGATCATCAGAGCTCGACATGCCTGAACGTATCCTGTAGGCAAGGCAAGAGGGGTTTGGTTATTGGACAGAAGAGAAGGAGACCTTTGGACAAAGGCTCCTGTTTGACCAGCTCACATCCCTTGCATGGAGTAGGGGAGACAGGTTCAGTCCTTCGCGCAGACACTGGAGGCAGTGGGACTCTGTGAGTGAACACGGGATCTGCAAGCTCGAAATTTTCCAGTGGACAAGCAGCACTGCCTGGAAAGCAAAAGCTCTTCCCAGCAGGACACTGAGAAATCACGGAGCTGGGAAATACAGGAAGGGAAAGTAGGAGGAACAGTTAGGAAGGAGTTTCCCCATATCTTTTCACAGAGAGAATTTTGATTAAATAACAAGAATTTAAAGTCTTAAAGAGCAGGTTGGTGTGAGCAGAGGAGATCCAGTCATCCAGAGGACAGCTGAGTAGTTGAAGACCCACTACTGAAACACACAGGTCCATGAGATACTACCACCAGCTGTCCTGAGGAGCTGAAGACTGTTGACCCAGGAGGAGGAGGGTGCTCAGCAATCCCACCACGTCCCAGTGCCTCTCTCTGGGAGTCCAGCCTGGTGGTGGGGTTTCAGAAGAGACCTGTGGCTCAAGCTGAAACAGTTCTTCCTTAGGGAGAAGAAATTACTGCACTTTGCAGAGCTGCTTGAGTTGTCACAACCAAAGGCCACATCATTCCTTTGGGTCCCTACAGACATCACGGGACACCCCAGCATGTCAGCAGTTCCTACCCCTCTCCTGCCTGCTCCTGTGCAGCAGCAGCCCAACACAAGGCAGTGAGGAACAACAGGGGTAGGACCTGTGCTGGGCAGGGTTGGGATTCCTACCACTCTGTGAGGGTCTATGTATTAAAATGTTTTTTAAACAATTAATATTTCTCTATGGTTTATGTATATACAATTTTTAATATATTTTCACAGATAAAACTTTTATATACTATACTAAATTCATATATACTATTTTTAAAAACCCAGGTCATTACTTGCGTGCAAAAGTAAAGGAAGAAGTGTAAGATTTGCTGCAGTGCCTGGTGAGCCTCCACCAGCTCTTGGGACAGTCCAAGTGAATGTGCCAGCTCCCTTTCCCCCTCCTTATTAACAAAATGAAGCTGCCACAAGCAAACACACTTTCATGATGTCTCTAACAGTATTAGCAAACAGAGGCCTCAAGCAAGTCTTGCTGACATACAAGTAAGACACCAGGCATGAGGATTTTACTGTTCCTGACAGTGCAGACTCTGTGTATATTGAATATTTGCTTGATTTTTTCAAGAGGAAACCTAACAAAAGAAAACCAAACCAAACCAAAAAAAGTTATGTGAAGAGTTCAGGGCAAAAACTGAAACCCTGAACAAAGGAGCTGGCAGTGCCCAGTGTGGTGTCTGTACAACCACTCCCAATTAAATGAGAATAAAAACACGTTTGTTTTAAAGACTTAACTCAGGCAATGAAAGACTCCAAATATCTTTCAGCTATTGTGCACACCAGGATAAATTTCCCTCTCATGGAAAGCTGTGGGTATCAAATGGGTTACAAGCAGAAGCATCTTGTTTTGTGATTTGTTTCTGCTGGAGAGCAGCATTGCTTTCTGCTTCTGAAAGACCTATTTGCCTATTTATTTAATTTATTCAATAAAGTTTCCTCAGGGTGAGCCTTTTCTCTGTCTTCTGTGCTGGATTACGTTGGACAAAAGTAGCAATAGGGAAGGTGAACCTACTAAAGTAAAAATATATACACAGAAAAAGGGAGAACAGGAGCTAGTCTGAGAGATTCAATATTGGCAAGCACTGTGTGGTCCAGACTAGCTCTGTAACAGAGAGAAATCCGGGAACAATTATTCTAACCTCTTGTGCAATTACTTACATAACAATTTAAATAAGTAAAGAAACAGGGAAGAAGGAATGGTTATTTCTAACCTGTAAGCTTTGGAAGAGACATCTCTGACATCCTAGAGGAGGTGCAATCTACACCACAGCAGAACGAAGCAGCTCTACAGGGTTAACAGTGATCAAAACAGATCAGATTGTGAACTAAACTTACAGGGACAAGACCACACAAGACTTGGGATAGGTTTAATAAGGTTGAAAGATGTATTAATGCTGAGGAAATATCTTGCTTCATTTTTCCTTTGCAGTAAACTAACTGAAAAATACTATATAATTAGAAAATATGGAGACAAGTTAAATGGAGTTAGATCTGTTTGCCCTGTAAGAGTTCTGCCTTGCCCTAGAGGATGTGGGAAGCACAAGACCATCCAGGCTAACAATGATCTTCAAAAAGATTAGAAGCCATGGCAGCATTAATAATGGATGCTGAAAGATTCATCATACTCAAGATAATTTTAAGGAATAGAAACTTAACTTTTGTAATAGATCATCATAATCTCAAAGCAAAACTCAAAATACTCTCTTAGACCTCAAAGTACTCAAATTTACTCAAAGTTATACCTCAAATGCTTCATATGCTTTGCAGTGCAATCTAGATAAAAGACATGAAACAAACCGCAAGTGTTTACAAAGAGCAATGATTAAACATTAACTGGACTTTAATAGCCACAGATAACACATGATACCTGGGTTACATTAAAAGCTTATAATTATAAAAACTACTATTCACATTCCTTAGCACATTTAATGGACCATCTCCTGTGCTGATGAAGTTGAAGGAGCTCTGCTGTCAGTTCATCCTGCAGCAGGACCTGCCCTGCTCAGAGCAAGGCTGGGTTCCTCACCTCTGGGTGGGAAGGGGAAGGATGGGGCACACATACCTGGCAGTATGAGGATGTCCACGAGGGGCTTGCAGTGGTAGAGCCCCGTGGCCATGACACAGTCTGCCCACAGCCCCTTGGATCCCAGCTCATCCATTTTCCTGCAGGTGGTAATGGTGTAGCCGCAAGTTACCACCCAGTCGTTGGTGGACGTTGCCACAATCACCCCGATCCACCCTACAAAACTGCAGACAACTCCAGCCAGGTGCAGGCAGGTGGCCACCATGTCGATCCCTTGGTGGGGCGAGCTGGACACAGGGGTTCAGCAAAGCTGGCCAGAGAGCTTCTTGCTGCAGATTCCGGCTGCTGGGACCTACTGCGAGCAGGAGGGACCCGGGTTTGGTAGGACGAGGTCCCTGATCAGGCAGTCACTGCTGCAGGCTCTCTGCTGCCTCTGCCCAGCTCCCTCCCTGGGAGGGGTTAGAGCTGCCTCCAGCCCCATAATGCAGGGGAGGAGCGAGCAGGGAGCCCCAACTTCTGCCAGTTCATCAAGAGAGTCAGAGGGGAAGGAGAGTGTGGAGAGGAGGAGAGAGAGAACTACACCCACCCGTGCTTGAAAAACAGACCAGGCTGCTTTATTCAAATGCAAACAGTCTGACTGTTCAAAATTTAGCATCAAGGGGTGAAATAAAAAGCAGTGGTTTAGAGTCAAAGATAAATTATCACAGTGGTACTTCTTCATGGAAAGACAGGGCAAGAAATGTGGTGGACAGAGCTCCTCGAGAGGTGGAATCGATCATCTCATCAAAACCATCAGCACAGCTGTGATAAAAGGACAAAACCACTCTTGGGTCTTTCCTCATGTTTCCAGTTACTGCAAAACATAAAAGATCATCACTGCATTCTCTGCTTGTGCCTGAGGTTTCAGAAGTATCAACTATCAAGCACGGAGTCTTAAATATGTGTCTAACTGCACCTTCTATCAGTTTTTGAATGCTAAAAGTTAGAATTATCAGCTTTTCACTCAGACCTGTTAGGGATGTACATTTTTATCTACTTGATAGAACAAGGAACAGCCCACTTCAAAATGCCAAAAAGAAAAAAAACCCCAAACTTTAGAGCCTATTCTGCATCAGGAGAAACAGGCAGGGAGGATATTTTTCCTAATCTGATTTTTATTTTCACGAACACAACGATGTGTTATCGGGTGCCAACACATCCCTGATGAAGCTTCATCACTGCGCGTCCTCCAGCGCTGCTGGGTTTGTGCAGGGAAGGCTTGGATCTAGGAGGATAGAACATGCCTGGAGAGACCACTAGTGGAGAGCTGGCCCTGCTACATGGGGAAAGGGAAAAACCGGGCAAGAACCTGACAGAACAACGGGTTTTATTCATTCCCAGAACTGCTGGTGAGAAAGAAATATTGGAAGCTACACTCCAAGATTAAGGGGCTGGGAATGAAATCCATCCTGCTTTTCATCCAACAGTATTTTTTTCCCATTCTTCAGCAAATGAAGTGAAAAACATGAACAAGACCATCCTGAGCATCAACACATGTTCCTTAGACTCTAAACTCAAGGACGTGAGGTCCTTGAACACTGGAGTTGCTACATAAACAGCTGAAAATTATCTCTGAAGTGAAGCTTTTCTAATAAATAGAAATTTGATACCTGTTTTCACATTTGCTTTCTATTGTTGATTACTCTTTGGGGATTTTTTCTACACCTGTTTCATGGGATTTTTGTGAATCCATGCTGCCACTGACTTTCCCAATGTGATTCCAGCTTATTCTTCTACTGCACCCACTTCAGGTGGAGGAAGCTGTTACTTACATCTAACCACCATTTTCATGCTGTCTAGGGTTCAATTCTAGATTGATTTAATGCTTCCCCAGACAATATTCCTGCTTATTCAGGAGGTAAAATTGTCATCCCTGGAGTGAAACCAGTGTTGTTCCACTTCTTGGACCCTGCAGTTGTGTTGGACAGGTCGCAAGTCACCTCCTGAATTTGGAAGGAGATGAGCTGACAAATGAACATGTTATTGCCTCTCCCCTTTGCTGGATCTGTTTGCATTTTTTCAGTCTAGCATTTCTTCTACCTAACTTCACAGCATTCTGTAAATGAGACATCTGATCTGTTTGTATCAACTATAAATGTCCACAGCTTAACATTGCATTTTGATTAATAACAGGCATAGGGAGACAGAACCACTCTGGGGTGACTGATCCCAACCTGTGGTCTAACAGTCCTGTCACCACAGTCCTTTGGGAGGTTAAAACTCCTGCATATTCTCTAAATCATCCTAATGCTCAGATTTTTAGCTTTCTTCAAAATACCAGAAATTTTTGCAACATCTTGATACCCCATTCCATCCCAAAGCTGAGATTAGAAGCATTTTACATGGCGACAAGAGCATCCTAATGCACACACAACAACTTGTTTCAATGCCATGGAATATGAATTCACAGGCTGTGTATTTAGTGGAATTAGTCCCCTACAATTATGGTTTTGTTAACCACAGAAGATTCTTACACCACCAGGTCTTCCTTCACAACCACATCTGTCAAAGGGGGTGCAGCAGCTCAACTGACAAGAACTGTATTTGACACTCCAGTAACTACCACTATTTAACAGTGCTCGACCTGGTGCCCACAGGGCACAGCTTGAATTATTTCAATTGCTGTCAATAGAGGCAGGAAACATTTACCATTTTGTCAGGGTTATAAATAACACCACTAACATTAAAGTGAGTATAAAACAGCATGCTGCAAGTAAACAATGATTCACAAGATCAATAAAACAAGAAACAGAGAAGAATGACTCCCCAGCTATATGCTAAATAAAACAAAACATTTAGGGCAATATTCTTTAAAAATTGCCATTTCTGAAGCAAGTGCTACACATGCATTTATCTCAGCAACAGTGAACCTTAAAAAAGTCTTTTTACCCTGTCATTCAGGCAGTTTTACCTTGATCAGCATTGTTTTCTTTGACAAATGACAGGCATTACCATTAGTCATATTTACACAAGCTATCAACATCCCAGGACTTTTTCTCATACAAATGACTCACCTTAAAACTTTTTCTTTGCAGCATTTCCAGCCCTATGGCTTCTTCCCTTGCTTGGAAATACAGCAGTACAAAAATTAGATGGGATGCAGAAATAAACAGGGTTAACAAGCTGTACAGCTACTTGTTCATTTTCTTCCATCCTAAAGGCTGAGCTCATAAAAATGTTACCAATTTCACTTCCATCCTGGTTCATACTGCTCATTTCTCTCTTCAGCTGTAAAATACAGGGAATTACATGGTAGCATGAAGGGTTTGCAATTATCTGAAACATAATCAGTTTCCTACATGCAAGAGCAGCAGTACCTTAAGACAAGGACAGTATCTAATGTGTGAATGTGACCTTGCTCGCTTAGCTGTCACAGATCCAACACTCAGAATGAATAAAACCCCCCTGAAAAATCTCCAAAATATTATTTGTGGTAAAAGCTGTTGTATTGTTATGGCAATCTTTTTTTTTTTCCTTTATTTCTTTTTTTCTTAAGTGACCAATAGCCTTTTCTTGTAATTGGGGGAAGCTCAACACAAATGAAAGACTCATTCCTACGCAGCTTATGGGAACAGCTCTCTCTTTTCTCTACCTTCCTTCCTCTCTCTTCTATTCTGAATTTTTGGCTATTTAAGGTTCCTGATGGCAGACAAAAAAACGTGGAGTAACGTTACCACTTGATTTACAGGATCTAAGCACTCTTGCATCTCCACAGGGCAGATTTTCCATCAGCAACTGAAGTACAATTCTCATTTCTGATTTCACCTTTTCATAAACCTCATCTTTTTACCCTGTGACGTGTGTTTATGCTGTTCTTCACTAAGCTGCTAAGAGAGCCGTGAACACCTCGAACACTGCTTGAGTCATCAGCCAGTAACAAAAGTTGTGCACCAGAGAACATGCCAAATACTCAAGTGGTTGCATTTACACATACAAACACACACTTCATCTCAAGATACATAGAAATCTTAGTGTCAATAATATCTCTATGGAGCTGGAAGGGTTTTAGAAAATGGACTGTCAGTGGGGGGCAGCTATTAAGAGCAGTGGGAGTTCTGCTAACAAGTCTCAGTGCAACCAGGTTTTACCTTACTGTAATAAAAGCAAGGGAGGCTCTGTCCTCATTATATAAGCTCTGTTCCTAAATGCCTTCCAGAAGTCAAGTTTAGAGTTCAGTATTCAAAAATATTACAAAGACAAGTGTTCTGACATTGCAGTTCTTTATTTGTTTTTGAATCCACGATCTATACAGGTATTTACAAGGCATGAAAATGGATAACAGCACAAAATACAATTGAGGTATAAGCTAAGAGCACAGTATGTCATGTTTCAATAAATATAATTCAAAATTTGTAAACTAAGTGACCAGATAGACGCCTCTTGTTTACTAAAACCATATAAAATATCTGTTAAATTTCACGTGAGGTAGAGGACAGTTTTGTGTGTCATGTAATGCAACCACAGCAACTCTAACAATAAGACTGTACATCATTGGCAAATATTAAAAATTGTTGAATGCATTGGTTGTTTTCACAGGCTTTTACTGCTGTTTCAGAATAGTCATTCAACCTGTTGCCTTGAGCTAACACAGACTCTCTTGTTTTGCAGCTACTTTCTGTAACTGGAGATCATACTGGCATGTCAACATCAATAAATACTTTTGAGAGTGAGTATGAAAATGCAAAAACAGATTTTTGTCAATCACAGAAAGCAACATAATGGCAACAACATATTTTAGACCAACTTTTTATTATTTTCTAGGTTTAGTTTAAATACAGTACAGCTGTGCTTTCCTTTAAGTGAGGTATCTATATTTGAAGAAAAAAAAAATCAATTGATACTGTGACATTTAATCAATTATCAAATAGCAAAATTTTACAACATTTGTTTGCTGTGCTTGATGAAGTGCTTAAAACTCATTTTTCAAGCATTTTCCAACTGAACCACTAACCCTGAAAGAAACCATTTTCTAAGTAATGGAGACACATAAAATCGTCGTGCAATTTGTCAGCAATAACTGCTTCAACAAGAGCTAAAAACTGGATGTCTTTTTTTTAAATAGAAATATGCAACAAACAGAAAATTCTACACGCTTTCTGAAATGAAAACTGAGGAATACTCACACTACACATGTAATGAGCAAATAGAAAATTGCATTTGCAGCTTTCTGCTACTTACTATTGACAGCTTAAATAAAACTACTGAAATATTGCAAGAACAGATTAACAGGTAAGTGTAATTAAGCCTTCTGTCAACTTCCATCATGTTACAGAAAACTCTGCTGTGTGGATTAATTACATGAATTAAGTGCAGAAAAAAAATACAAACTTATCATCTTTACTGACAATCAAAATATATACTCTACAAACAAGTGAATTCTAGGAAGCTGACCATGACAGCATTTCAAGGCCAACTTCACAACTAATGCTAGGGAAGTCTTCCAAAAATTTCATAACACATTCCAGCTACCCCCTCCCCCAATATAAAACAAAAATGTATGAATAAAATGTTGTGACTTCTAAAATAGGGGCCAAACCTTATTTTTTTTCAGGCCACCAGAACCTTTATGCTCCCACTCAATTTTTCCTACTTCGCTAATTGCATTATGCCTTTACTATATACAAATGATTTCACACCTAAGCTATCAATATAATAAATATAGAAAAAAAATAGTTTAAGAATGTGAAACATAACTATATTTATCTAAATACTCAAACCAAATGATAAACTTTACAAAAACTAGAACACAAATTCAGGTAAGCTTGGAGATTTAGATAAAAATCTCTTTTGTCTAAGGATACATGGCTACATTGTGAACACGGGTGCTTTCAGACTGTCAAAATTAGGAGTTTTACTCTCTAACCTCTTATATTTTCTTGTTGATTAAATTACACAAAGCATGTGAAACTTCTTTTTTAAAAAAAAGTATATGAGCAAACTAGATATTCACTTTGATACCTACTTACTTTGTTCCAAAAGGTGCACTAGGCAGCTCTGATCTTGGTCTAAGTCTGATAATGCAGCTTTCAAAACTATGGACAATTTTAGAATCTTTTTTTTCTGACAGGTTTCATGTCACAACTACCTGGGAAAATGATTTTCTGCCTGAAAGAACAGCAAGCAATAACTGAAGACAAAACAAATAATAGTACATAAAATGAGCATGCTGTGACTAAGAGGACCTAAGGACAGAATTAGTTTCTACTGTTAAGTGTGCACTTAAGTGAGGGCTCTCAAGTGTGCATTCCAAATTCCTGTATTAGGCTGTAAAATTGACCATTCAATATAACTAGCATAAGGTAGTGAAAAAAGGTCAACATATATTTGTTCTAGAACTTATACAGTATTATGTACAATTCACTAAAAAACTATCTTTCAAAGACTGTGAACACACAAAATCTATGGCACATTTATGTATACATTATTACTTAAAATCAGTATAAAATTAAGTCTACACATATGAAAATTATTTATGTTAAAGAGCCTGAAAGTAATATTTAATAACTTTAAGAGGATTACAATTAATTTAAAATGCATCCTAACTTTAGATTAACTAAATGGAATATTCACAAAGCTACTTTTAAAGTAATTTTAATAAATGCTCAGTTAGCTTCATTTTTAGCCAGATGTTTTAAAACAATTAGGAGGCCTTACCTGCAGCTGGAATTGCTAAAACTTCATAGAGCTGCTTGAGTTCTTGTGACAATGAAAATATTAGTACAGACTATGGCATTTCATTAGTCTGCAGCACAAGACAGTTAAGAGCTGGTTGAGGGATGGCTGAAGTGCTGGCTGAGGCAGAGGAACTCAGGCTATTCTGCTGCTCCACTGCCACTGCTGGAGATCAACCAGCAGCCAAAGGGGGAATCTGAGCAGAAGTCACATCATACAGACAAGACCCAAATGAGAACAGAATATACAGGATTCTAATACAATAATCCCATCAGGATCCCATACATTCAATGGCTAAGCTATAAAACCTGTGGTAAATGAGTTACTGCAGCTGAACTAAGTGAGTCTGTATGGCCTTATCCACACTGCTCATCAAGCAAGTCTGGTTCAAACACTGATGCTGAAAAGCAACTAGAAATGGTCTTTCTTGTTACTTTGATAATTCCCCAGTGCAACTTTTCAGTTTCCCATACTGGTGTTTTCTAGCCTGCCCACCTATCTAATCTTACATAGGTTCTGCCAAGCAGCTTGGACTCCTTTGAGCTCCCTTTTCCCAATACTCCTGCCTACTCTCCTTATAGCCATGTTTTTGGTGGTTGTTACAATAAACCACTCAGGTTTTATAAAGCAAGTGGTGCATACACAACCAGAACCATTAATATTCAACACCTTTCCTTCCAAACCAGTACTATGCTGCAAAGAGAAGCTTTTTTCTTCTTTTTTCTTTAAAGCAATAATTTGGTGATGGAAATTATGTCTTTTTTTTTTTTTTTTTTTTTTACATTTTATCATCTAAATTGCCTTAATTGTCAGTGTAAATATGACAAAAAGTCCAAAAACAAAACCAGGCACAGCCATAAAAGAATCATCCTGTGACTCCATGACATTTAGTTTACCACCTCATTTATCATTCAACTTAAAGATATGTGCAATTTTATCTTTCTCTGTGATATTCAGTTCCTGTTATATCACTAAAGGATAAAAAAAAAGAACTCATAAGTTTTCCTTTTTACTAGTTCAGGAAAAAAAAAATATTAAATCAATGTAGGCTTCTACTGGTGGTTTAATCCAGAATTAACTGAATTATTAAGAGAACAGCAAACCTAAGCACCTCAAAAAACCAGAAGCTAAAGCACAGGTTAAAATTACGTAGTGAAATACTAGAACTACTAAAATATTCCTAGTCACTGACAAAACCAGCTAACATCTGTCAGCTGAATCAGACTTTCTGAAGAGAAGTGCAAAAAAAGTGTTTCTTCATCCAACTTTTTAGTCATGCGTTTAAATCCACTAGGAACCAGACTGCTGAAGTACTCAAACATTATATATACATAAAACAGTAATTCTATACAACTACACATTTTCAAATGTTGTAGCTTAACAAACATGCTGTATTTCTTAATTCATGGTAACATTACCATGCCACTCAAACACAGAGACTATCAAAATGGTTTTCAAAGTGCCATACCTCAGAATTTTACTTTTTAAGCTATTGTCACCATGTTAGTTAAGGCCTTTTCTATGTAATGAAGGAAAAATCCACAAGTTGGCCAGAAGCTCCAAGTGTGGAGGCTCAGGGTACTAAAGAAACTAATACATATTCTTGAATAAATCTTCTTTTTCTTCAAAGCATTACTATCTGAAAACCAGTTAAGTCAAGCTTTCTTAGTTTCTAGGAAAAGCCCCACCCTTAAGTCTTTTATTAATGTTTCTTTCATACCTACTATATAGAACAAAACAAAAGATGTGAATTTCTATATCCAAGGATTTCATTGTAATTGTAAATTTTTTAATTTACAGAAAAACCCTCATGGGGTTTTTTTTCTCCAGCATGGCAAGCAAATGCTGGCTCTAAAACTCTTCAGATTGATGACAAGCTGTTAAATAGACAATACTGAAAATATCAGCTTGACTTCACACAATGAAATTATTAATTTCACACTGGTAAATCACTTTTGATGACCAAACATCAATCATAGTGGCAATTTTGGGTATTACCTTACAGATGAAAAGCTGCCTCTACTTTCCCCAGTTCAACAAGACATAATTCTCACTGAAACTCAAACTATTTCTGACCTTGAAGAAATCAGAATGTTTTTAATGTACTTCTATAACTGCATGTGCAATTGATAGCAAAATTAAGATCACATATATTTTTACCAGACAATGTTAAAAGTTCTGGAGTCCTCAAGATTGGATTAGAAATAGACAGAAACTGGTCACTCTAAATCAAGAGTTCCGTATTTTCTGTTGTTTGAGAAAAACACTGGTACAAATAAATCCAGATTTTCACTGGTTAGGGAAATCTAAAAACGTATACCTACCTAGCTCTACTTATTTATATGTATCTTCATCTGGCCTTGCCTGGGAAATAGAAATCTGTAGAGAATACTTTTTTATCACACAGAAACTGCTCACAATTCATTCAAATCCAAAACACCCTTTTCGAAGGACACAGTCATGCTTCCTCTTCCAATTTCTATTTTCCTTTTCCATTTTTTGAAGATTTCAAGATCTGTAGCTTCAAGTCCTTTATCATCATCTCCAACTTTTCCCTTGCCTCTCGTTCTTGTCTCAGTTCATCTTGAAGCTCTTGTCTATCTGCCTCTGCATGATCCAGCCTCTGCCTCAATTCTGCTAGCTGTAAATAAGAGAAAGAGGCAAATTTTAGCAAACTTATTTGTAACCGTTAACTATTCATATCAAGACAACACTGATGACCACCATATGCATCAGATAAAAATATTTCTATTCACCAGTATTTATCAGCTCATCTTCTAGTTACCAAGAATTATGCAGTTACCAACTACACCATAAGCAAATGACATCGATATGAAATTGCATAAAGGTCACACTGTAACAAAAAAAAAAAAAATTGGGGAAGTCTAATTTTTAAACACACATAAACTTTAACTATAGGAAATGTCAGACTAGACCTTGCCAATAAAACATGTAATCTGTTAGGAAGATGTCTGATGATGTCTGCATCAAACACCTCACAAATACCAGAATAAATAGCACTTTTGCATTTCCCTGGTTGATTTCTCTTAGCTGAAAAAAATATAACTTCTCTATTTCAAAGCCTGGGTGCATTTCTAGAACAAAGAAAACCACCAACACTGTTTTCTGATACCCTTTAGCATAAATGAAACAGAACATTGAGAAATGAGATTCAGAAGGTCTTGAATATAACTGCCTGGGCATTTATGTGCTTGTTGAAATACAAACAGGTCCACACCATTATTTTTTTTTACTTCATGCTTAAACACAGAAATTAAATAAATTTTTCACCTTTGGAGTACAGTAAAACCCCAACTTGCTAAATTGTCATCACAACTTATTTACTGTGAGATCTGGGAATGTCTGATGAATTTTTCAAGTGTAGAAGTTATTGTCCAATTGCTTATATGCTTATACCAGCAGATAAAACAGGGAGGAGACTGGACATGACTAATCTAATAACTAATATAACTATAATATAATCTAATAACCTGCCTTTATGACACACATGTATCTATCTGATCTAAATCATTCCTATCATACATCTCATTGAAAAGCAGGAGGACAGCTCATGAGAAGGAGGGACACAGAGGTGCACAGGATCCCTGGTGTTTGCCAGCTGCTGTAGAACGTACTGGGCAAAGGATCTGCTGTGCTGGTTTTGGAGAAACACCACATTCAGTGGACCTTCAGCTCCACTTATTTAAGTATACTAAGAAATATTGAAATGGTTCTTAGAAATATTTAAAGGGTTCTTAGACACCAATATTTGGCTTGCAAATTAATGCAAGTCTTCTGAGCCCACGACTGCCATGAAGTGAACTGGTGCAGCACAACAGTGCCCACTGCCTGCAAGTTACAGCACGTACTCCATGAGCACATCTCTGGTTGTGATTTCCAGATCTAAAGAAAGGCTTCAGTACTGGTTATCCTGCCCTGTTGTGACTAACTGGTGAAGCAACAATTAAACTAGACAATTCAATAAAGAAGTCAAAAAGGGAAAGAAGGCACTTGGTGCATTTTCAGGCAGGCCTAGAAAGAAAAGCAGGCATTAAGCAAGTTCCAAATCCCATATTATTAATTTTGTTTCATGTACAAAGAGGGTTCCTCCCAGTCCACAGTTCTCAGAAAGGGCAGCAACTGCTTCATGAAGACTCTGCACTAAGGGTTTTTTTAAATTCTATATACACAGTTTGGGAAAGTTACCTGTTTAACTCAGGTACTTCTGACAACTGCTTGGAACCTAGGGCCCAAAATGTGTTTTAGACATGATAAATGGAGAAAAAGGTTCAAATTACATGTTGCAAATAGCTCTACCACACAGGTAATAACACAGTAAATGTTTGTGCAAGGAACATATTTGAGCTTTCAAAGTCTAAGTTCAAATGAAACAATCAACCAACCTCCTTGGGGAACAATCTATGGGTTTTACCCTCTAAAGAAAGTAAGTTACACCAGCCACATAAAACACGCTATACACGATTATCTTCATAAATTAGAACATGTTGTTACTTGCTATAACAGGGCTTGTACCAGATGTTTAGTAAATCAGGCCTTAGTCAGAGGATTATTTCTGGCAGCAAAGGTTAGGAATCTGTGGAGTGGGATGTCATGAAACTACAGAGGAGGATTTACAATGCTAGTCTCTGCCCTACTCCCCAAAAATACCAAAACCTGTCTCTCAAGTACTGCCTGTTTCTCAGATGGAGGCAGTGAGAACAGGAAATACACACAGCTATGATCAAATGACCACAAAGCCTCACTGAGCTTAAGTTTCAGATTTTGTTTACTTTAAAAAAAAAAACCTGTGGAGACTAGTTTTTTTTGTGTCACAGTACCAAATACATCAATACATATTTAATAGTAAGTGCAAGTGGCTTTGAAAAAGGGCATTCCAAGGCTCCCTTTGGCATTAACTGGATTTGCCCCACTGGAATAACATAAGTAACATCTAACATGAAGAAAGCAATACTGAAAGTTAAAAAGAAAGACAAAAAAAATCTCCATAGGTTTTGACATAGAACTCAAGAGGCAGGGATGGAAGACAAAAATCTTTTCATTTCCAGTGGAACCCTTGACCAAATGTTTTGGTGCAAGGTGGCTCATGGAATCACCAAGCTTGGGAAAGACCTTCAAGGTCATCAAGTCCAACCATCTGCCCTACAACCCCCAACCACTAATCCATCTCCTGAAATACCACCTCAACCCGTTTTTTTAATGTCTCCAGGGACAGTGTCTCCACCACCTCCCTAGGCAGCCTGTTCCAATGCCTCACCACTCTTTCTGTGAAGAAACTTTTCCTAATAACCAATCTGAACCTTCCCTGACACAACTGGACCCCATTTCCTCTTGTCCTATCGCTGGTCACTAGGGAGAAGAGCCCAACACCCACCTCACTACAACCTCCTTTCAGTTAGTTGTAGAGGGCAATGAGGTCTCCCCTCAGCCTACTCCTCATATACTGCAGAAAATTCTACCACCAAGGAACAAGAGAAAACTGCCAGATTTGTTATTAGACCAACAAAAAGGTGGTTGAGAGGTTTGGATTTGTATTGTTTCAACATAAAAGGAAGAAAAAGATGACTAGCTTATTTCTGTAACTAACACTTGGCAGGTGAAGTGCTTCTGTAAGCTGCATTCTATCTCAGTTTCAATCAAGCTACAGGGAAATAAATATTGCTGTCACTGTAATGTCCTTTGGTGTCAGAACACACAGAAAGGATGAAACCTTAGGGTGGCTGAGCAACAGCTTCACCATTTCCTGATACACTAAATATCCTTCTCACCTGTGCTGCATATTCAGCTTCTTTGTCTTTTTCTAGATTGGAGTCACAGCTACACTTCTGCTTCATCACTTGGTCCAGTTTCTTTTCCAAGTCTCTCTGCTCAAAATAAAACTCCTCCATTCTGAGAGCATGTTGTGTTTGCAAACATTCAAGTTCCTTTTGTAAATTCTGCTGCTCTTCAGTTAATTCCTTCATAGCTTTAGAGTTGCTTAACATGTCCACTTCCTGCAAAGAAAAACCAGGATTTACTTTGGTTCTAAGACCAGAAAAGTGAAAAAAAATAAATATATATCTAGAAACAATGAGCACAAAGAGAGCACATTTTTCTACTGATAACAATAGCCTAATAACAGTATTTGTCTACTTATCAATGGTAGCCTGAAATCCTGTAGCAAGTATTTCAACATGCAGAAATTACTTAATACCTCCAGGTACATGGAGCTTCCAGAAGCAGGTTCACAACGTCCAGCAGTGAACCTCAGAAGGCAGCAGCTCTGATTTACCAAAAAATACTTTGAAAATGAAAGAAGTGTATTATCAGAAAACAATAAACGTGCCTGGTTTCTTTTTCCACTAGGATTTTGTTATTTTTTTTAAGTCTTTTTAAATTTTTTTAAAACTTATCTACAAGCTTTACCCTCAAAACCAGACTGGCACTGTACCATTTGAAGTTGCTGCTTCTTCCGCAAAATAGCATTCAGTTTTTCTTGCTGTCTGATGTAGGTTTTCATTACTTCTTCCATGATCCTTCCCTTGTCATCTTCACAACTGATGTCCTTCATCAGAGTGGGGGATAAGGTTCTCACATCATTACCTACTTCAACACGGCCAGAGTCTCTAGTGATTTTGGAAGAAGCACGTTCAGATTTTCCACCTCGTGCAGAACGAGTTGGCACAGGTGGATCTACAGAAGAAAGAACACAGTCAAATAAGCACAGAAAATTAAACATCCGGGGGGGGGGGGGGGGACAAAAAAATACTGAAGTCTATTAAAAACATCAAAAGATTTTTTTTGAAAACTGAAGTGAGATCACAAAATACTAGCTTAGTGTTGAGCTTTCCAAAGTTATGATATAAACATGGAAAGGACTTCATCATAATTTTGACTACTCACCTAAGTGTTTATGCTGCTCCACCCCACTTTTCAAGTCAATTTTTTCCTGTTCTTCAAGAGAAAGCTCTGGATAGGAGGCTGCTTTTTTGTGCTTTCCACTACTGACCTTCTTCTCTGACTGTCCAGGTGAGGATTTAATTACTTCTGAAGTTTTGACTGTTGGTTTTGCAACATCCTTATATTGTGATGCAAGAGATACATTTGGGGCAACCACTTTATCACACATATAAAGGTAGTAGCTGAAACAGAGTAATGGTAAAATTAAGAGTGAAAGGTAAGGCACAAAAAATCACGACTAGGAAGTCTAATTTAACATGATTTCAAACTGCAACATTTTCAACAAAAAATAAGCATGCCCTTTTAAAATTTCTCTTATGCAAAAGGAAATCCTAATGACTCACTTAATCTTCACTGAGTAGATTATCTAGATAAGGTTTTGAGGCTATTGAACAAGAGGACTTTTCAAACATGGCTGATTAAAAAGACCATATAGAAAATGACATCAAGTCTCCACTGAAATGCAAAGAGTGAAATCAGAATGCCACTGAATCCAGGCTCACCAGCATTTTCATAATCCTTATATTAGCAATGGAGGATGGGGGAAGTGATCAGTGCAGTGGGAATGAGCATGTCACTCTTGACATAGCAAAGCTGTGTACTCAGAGTGCTGGGCCTTCTTTCCCACATACACTGATCAATCCATCTGGATTTTCACAGCTCCTGGACTCCTGGGAAGATCCTTCTGTACTTCCCTAACTTAGCCTCCCAGCTTTTGTCTAGCACAGAGTGAAAAGACTGCCAGACATGTTGAGGCCAGTGTCAGGATAATCAGTGTCATAACTGTGTCATGAGTCAAAATTGCTGCCTCCAACACTCTCCTTCCTCTGAGTTCTGAAGGAAGGCACCGACACAAACAGCAAACTGAGGGACCATCACAGAAGTTCCACCATTCCTGTGTTTGTCTGGGGACTACTTTGATGTCTGTGTGTTGCTTTGCTGCTAGACAAGAGTCTGAAAAGCACACGGGGACAAGGGCTAAGAGGGACCTCAAGACAAACTCTTTCCCTCGTTGAAGCAGATGACAAACTTCACACTATGTTTCCAAAACCAACTGACAGTTCAGCTGCAGTATTGTACCAGTGTGGAAGTCCAACACCTTTTCCAAGTCTTTTTGGAAAGGAAATCAGGTTGCATTCGTGGTAAATAGGCCCTATGCAGCTTTCCACAAGTATTCATTAAAATATAATACAAAAGATTAAAAATTACCTTCTGCCATTTCTACTCTGAAAAGGGAAATTGTAACACATTTCATTTGTATTGCCTACCAAAGAACACTCTTGTGTCACAGCTTCAGTCCTGTACCAAAAAGCAGTTAATTAATATTTACACTAAGAAAACACACAAAAAGTTAGGGTTGCAATTATTTCAGGTTGCAATTATTTTTATTTTTTTTCAGCTTGAATTATCTTTAAATAGCTAAAAGTATTTAAATACTTATACATGCAGGGCTTATAACAGGAAATTTAGTTACCTGGGATGGAAAAAGGAGGGTGGCTGAGGATCAGTTTCTGCTTCTTGCTTTATAACTGGATACCACTGTGATAATTCCAGGCTCTGTTGTGAATCTGCCTAAAAAAAAGAAAATAAATTGGTAACTGGAAGGCAGGTACATGTTCTTTACATTTTCATAAATGGCATTTACACCATTAATAAATACATACAGATTAGAGAAACTTGGATACTGGAAAATGGACTACCTTTGTCAGAGATGCAGGGTGAAGCAAGCCACAGAAATTTCTTGAATCTCCAAATTCCCATTATGGGCAAAGTAGCAACATAATTAAAAGAAACTCTCTTTACAAACCTGTTTCATAACTCTGCTAAGGCATGCTAAAAATGTTGAGGAGTAACAGAAAGCAGGAACAAGGATTTCCAAAAGGTTGTAGGACCCTTTTGCAATAGAGTATCCACATCATAGTGAGCACCTACCAGATACTTAATTACAAAATAAAACCTGTGAATAAAATGGAACAATTACTAGTGTTCCAGAGAGAGGACTTTCTTCAGTTGTCATGAGTTTTTATTACAGAAGTGAGCAAAGCTGCTCCAGTAACACAACAACTGTTCCATTTGCAGTAACAAACAAAATTAATGGAGGTGCACCAGAGTATGTAATCTTAAAAATATCCTGTGCATTTTGTATTTGGATAGTAATTCTTATTCTGTTTGTCTCAAAAAAATGTTTTTGAAATTACTCTTTAGTCAAAGTTACTGGTGATACTTGGTGCTCCACTGCAAAGTGACTATTAATTACAAGTCAAAGTGTCTCCTCATATTTTTACAAAAACTCACAGCTAAGAAATTTGTTCTTAATTTCACTGTATTAGAACAGCCTTGGGAAGCAGGTTTTTGGGTAAGGTGTGGTTGGGTGACCCCAGCCAGCAGCCAAGCACCACCCCCAGGGGATGGGGACAAAAGTAAGAAAGCTCCTGGGTCAAGATAGAACAGTTTAATAGGTGAAGGGAAGAGAAAAAAAAAAAAAATCAAGTGAAGCAAAAGATCCTGCTGCCCACCTCCCACAGGCAGAATGATGCCCAGCCAGCCACCAAACAACATCCACCTGGGATGCCAATACCTCCTTTTTCTCCTCCTCCTCCCCTAGTTTTTCTTGCTGAGTGTGACATTACAAAGCACAGAGCATCTCTCTGCCCCCAGCCTATTTGCTGCAGGGCTTCAGCACTGACACTGCCCAAGCCCTGCCCAGCAGCAGCCACAACACTGGTGAGTTACCAGTGCTGTTTTGGCCACAGATCCAAAGCACAGCACCATGCAGAAGAAAGCTAACACCATTCCAGCCAGACTCAGTATCTTTGAAAGGTTGCCCAGTTTATTTCAAACAAACAAACAACACCAAAAAAACCCACAACTATATTTACACACCCTAAAATCAACTGTCACAGAATTTCATCTCTGGCAGTCAGAGAAGTACCAGATACACACGTGTGGCTTGCACCAAGGCCTCCAGAATCAAACACCACTTGACCATGACAGAGATCAAATCCCACTGACAACACTCAGATCAAAACTTCCCGTTCACTAAATGTAGCTCTAGCAATGAAACTGAAATTTAACTCCACCCCTGCAGTTCGTCAAATTGGTTCCAACACAGATAGAAAGGAGGAAGGACACAAGGAAGCTAAGCTCTAAAATAGTAAATTCATAATCAAGCCTTTAAACAATAAATATATGAGATACAGCAAATAACCTCTAGAAAAATGGCCTTATCCTGATATTTATCAAGTTCATTCTATTTATTCAGATCATTCTAATAACTTAAATAATGGACATATGGTCTTCTACTTACATTACAGCTAGTACACAGTAATCTAATTTTAACTTTTGAATCACTTCTAATCCATGTTATAGGACTCGCATATTAACAAATGCATATATTTGCATAAGTAACTACGTTTCAGGTGATCTGTATTTTCAAGTTATCCGGTCAGATTTTTACATTCTCACCAATTTCAACTGAAATAAAACCAGAATCATCTACCCATCAGTGTCCGTTTTGCAAATGAATTGCATAACATGCAACCAAATTTTTCCTTAGGAAATAAAAGGAAAGATAATCATAAATAAACATGAAGTCTTTCTAACAAGATTCCCTCCTCATCATCCAAGTTAACAAAATACAGATAAAGTATCTACCCTCAATATATATGTGTATATTTAATTATCTAACAATCTCTTTAGTTTGGATGCTCTTAATTATTTAAATGCAATATATCCAAGTCAACTTAATTTAATTACTCCTACCTAAACAATTAAAAAGGGTTCTATTAAAAATGTCATATTTTTCTTCTAAAACTAGTTGTACAAAGCTATTTTTTAAGGAAAAAATATATATAGGTAAGTAGTGGTTTCAGCCTCATCATTAAGCCAGTGGTTTTAGCAGAGATGGGATTTATAAAATTACTCAGAAGAAAAGTTAATTCTTTACATGGTGACCAACCCCAGGAACTGGTTTGAGAAGCAAGCCAGCTGTAGTGCCACAAACTCAAAGGGAATGAGGACTTGGCAGCACAGAGGTCAGCACAGACTTGGTGACAGCTATCCCACAAAGAGCAGGTGGATGGTACACTGCAGCCTGGAACTCAGAAAATTAGAAACCTGGTGGCAATCAAATATACAGCTTACAGCTTTCTTACTAGCACAAAGAACAGAAAGGAATTGACCTTGTGAGCCCAGCGGGTGAGGGCCTGCATTGTCTGCTCTTAACACACTGAGGGCAGAAGAGTACTTGCAGTGTGAGGTGAACTCAGAGTGAAATGACAGGGAGAAAGGCAAGGCACAGGAATTAGGATGCTTGGAGGGGTGTGGGATTTAATTAATAATTTACTAATAGGGGATGGACAAAGATCTAGCCAAGGGCAACAGCTCTTCCTGGGCCCTTCAAGATAACCTCAAGGTGCATCAGCACTTCTGAGGACTGACTCAGCAAAGGTTGTAGGGTAACAGCATAGCAAATGGAACACCCTGCAAATACATCTCCCTAGGAGTGTAAGAAAAGAGAACATGAACATGTGTACCTAATGCCTCTCTCACACCACAGAAACGAGGGAAAGGCAAGCGAAGCAGCCCAGGTCTCCCAAGGACAAGGAAACAGAACCTGTGCTCCAACACTCCCCTCTTAAAACTCTTCTGATCTTGAAGAATATCCATGAGCCAAAAAAAACAAAAACAAACTGCAAACCAACAAAAACCCCTCCCCCACCATTTTATCTTTGTTCAAGTTTTCACAGTCTCTCTCTGATTTCACATGCTGTTCTGTAAGAAAGAACTACACAGGTCTGCAAGGGAAGACTAGAAAGTTTTTGTACTTTGTTTGCACCAACCAGCCCAGTTCAAGTGACTGTTACTGCTCATTGCAGCTGGGTTTATTTTCGTCCGTACCCATGAAACTGAAAGACCTCAAGGTCTGAAATCTGTGGCTGTGTAAAGGGAAGCAGTATTACAGGAATGAACATGGAATACTATTTTCCATTGCTGCCTCCACCACACTACAGCCTCTCACCTACACTGGCATTGCAAGGATAAAGACTGACACGCCTTTATCAGATGGAAAGTCTCGTTGCTATCAACTTACCTGCATCTTCCTCTATTTCACCACATGGAAGCCTGCCATGCTGCAGACTTTTGTGGAAATTTTCTACCAAAACCCCTTAATTGTAGGCTGGCACAGCTGTAAAAATGCCTGTTACTGCAGTAAGCCTTTCTGCAATACTAACTTTGCAGAAGTTTATGCTGAAAGGTGTCAACTTAGAGCATCCCTTTTTGGGCTCAACCATCTGGGCTGCTCTTGCTGCTATTCTGAAATCCTCCACAAAACATCAAACAGGCAAAATGGATATAGAACCAAACCAGTAGCCATCAAGGAGAGATATTAATGCCAAATACACTTAAAAGGAAAAGCAGGGCAGAAACTGCTTAAAACTTGTTTAAATTAAACCCAAAAACCTCTACATTCTAGGAACAGGAACATCCATGATGATCACTATTGATCTGATGCTTGTCTTATTAAAGTACAAGCTCTCCAAGGGAAAAAATAAGCTCTGTATTTTTGGACCAGAGCACCGACTTGCAGCAGTATTTTAGAAAAAAAATACAACATCTATTATTAACCATTGTCAAGATACCGGCCCACGACTCACTGCTTGGGCTGCTTAAAACCCCCTCTCTTTTTGGCATATTTCTCTACACAACTGGTTTAAGCAGAAAGCCACTGCTGAACAAGCAGACTTTGGGATTCTAAACAGCAACTTATGAATGCAGCACTACACTACATGCAAAGTCATGAGGTGGCTGGTTAGCAAGCCAGGTCACCACACACCCCACGTGTATGTGCTGAAATAAAAATAACAATTGAAGAATTAACGTGTAATACTTGATTTTCAAGCTCCTCTCTGCTTTGCTCAGCTGCTGCAACACACACTGCAGAAAAACATACTCAAAGGTCAAACGGGAGAATGAAAATTTCCACAACAGCTCTGAATCTTCCAGAGACTGCATACTTTGGAAAAGAGTAAGAAACCCACAAGGCCAAACCAGCTCAAATGAAGTTACTTACAGCGCAAACAGGAGAGAAATTACCACACCTTTTAATGAGAAAGGTATTTCCATGGTGAAGCTCTCTCACAAACTCAGCTTAGGCTTGACTTGACAAGCACTCCCCTTCACAAAAGGCAAGCAACGCGCTTCCAGAACAAGTATTTACGTGTGAGCAGAAGGAGATTTGGGAGTTTTACAAGAGTAGGTGAACTTACTTTGGATCGAGTTCTTTTCTGATTTTTCTCGCTAAATTTCTCCTTCATTTCCTCCAGGAGGTGTTTGAGCTCCCGCTCCTCCGACGTTCCCAAGTATTTTTGGTTGATATGCAGGTAGCAGTGCCACTTGGCTGACTCAAATCCCCAGTGGCAGGTCCTCTTGTCCGGGGATCTGTGCGAGTGCATCACAAACGTCTGGGGCGAGAACATCCCGTAGCACTCCAAGCACTGGATACACGGGTCGTCCGGGGCCGAGTAGAACTGAGGTGCAAACAACCCCTGGCACTTGCCCAGGCATTCATGCTCTACTTCAAAGGCACTGCCAGCCTCTTTCAGTTGGGCCAAGGTGTTCTTAGCAGGGAGAAAGCCACCGTTCTGCGGAAAAGTGCGAGGACGCAGCAGAGCATTGCACAGTCTCTGAGCATCAGTCAAGGTGATGAGCCCGCAGGACGGAGCGTTAAACGGAAGGATTCCCAAAACCTTCAGGATGTGAAGCTGGTCAGAAGTGCACCTCGAGCAGTAGATATACAGCTCGTCACACACCGTGTTGATCTGTTGCAAGGAAAAGTCTCGGAGCACTGAGTTCAACACCTGAGGCAGGCAAAGCCTTTTTTCACCTCCCACTTTAAAGCAAGAGATAGATTCCCCCTCCAGCACGGTCTGGGTGAGTTCTGTGGAGCTGTCGGGAGGAATGAGCAGTGGACCAGAAAGCACCTGTGGCGATGGAAGAGGCAAGAAGACAGTGGGTGACATGCTCTCCTGGGAATAACGAGCCGAGAAAGCTGCCGGTCCTCCCAGCGAGCTCTGGCTGCTCAGGTGGAACTGTGCCAAGGTGTGCTTCAAACCTGGATTTAAACTCAAAGGCTCAGCTAGCGAAGCGCTGTTTGGCTTGGCGGTTTCCCCATCAGCTTCCACAGGGGTTTCATCATACTCATCCAAGTTTTCCTTCTTTATCGTCGGCAATTTGTTAATTACAACTCGTACTTTGCTATTTACGTGCGTTTCCGTCATCGCCTTCTTTAACGGAGGACTCCCGTCTTCCTGGATCCCACTCCTTTTTTGGTCTGAAACCAGGCCTAGGGGGAAGTTCATCTGTGGGCTTTCCATTGCTGAACACCAGCACCTGTGATTAATTGAAGCCCTGAGCGTGCATCTTCCCTCTTGTTGGTACAAAAACACAATTTCAAGCGCTCCTGATGGTTCCAGGGACACCAAGCCTTGCACCCGATTCAGTAAAATGTCACTTCTTCAGCCTCTGGCAGTAAAAAACTGTAACCCACGTGGCACGTGACACCATAAAATCAACAAGGAAGAGGTTAATTTATTTTTTTTTCCTTGCAGTTTTACAGTTATCTGCTCAATTTTCTCACGTGAAAAACCCCCACTGCAACACGTGCACAAAACGCTTCACGCCCTACCCACTGTTGTACACACAGCAGTGTGTAAAACGCAGGGACTGACTGAGCAAAAAATGCTTTGGTGCAACAGTGTCCATGCTTGATTTTTAAAAAAAAAAAATAAAATACACTGTCTTCTCAGCTGAGTCTCTATTTAAATATTAAAAAAACCAGGCCTGTCTGAAGAATGCTGATACCAACCGATGCAAAACGTCGCCCCAGCTGTTTGAAAACTGCACTTCCCAGCTCCCGGGGGGGTCACACGGAGTCTGAGGGGTTTGCCTCCCTGTGCTGCCAACCTGGGGGATTCCACCCACCCCCCCCAGCCCGGGGGTCCCTGG